AAAAAAATAAAAAGAGGTGATAATAGAGGTCATGATTGTGAAATGATAGGCTATGCATATATCTGTTAAATAGTCTTAAGTAGCCTTGGCCAGCATTGACAGTGTATGATTGAATGGCACTAAAAAACATCAATAGTTCTCTCTTTGTTTCCCTTTGACATAGCATACTGTATCATACTATACATTCTACACTATTTCACGAGCTGGTATCTTAATATTTTTAGTAAAACCAAATATAAATATATGGGTGTGTTTACACAAGAATTTACAAACTAATATGTCATTATTTTTAATAAATTACCATGTCTTTATTCCTCCATGTATATATTTATTTCTGTCCCCCAGGGAGAACTGGGGTAGAAATTGTGGTATCTGTCATCTCAGATCAACCAGGATTTATTCTTTACCTGCAAGTCTAGAACAAACTATAAAGTCATTCCCTTTAAATGTAAAAATATATTCCCTCCTCTATGAAGCAGACTTGTAGATATTTAATAAAGTTGCTAATTATATTGTGTTATAAAATATAATTGTAGGAGGGAATAGCAGAGTGTTAACATATGATCTAAAATTTATACTCAATTGCTAATGGACTTAAACTGTTGTTTTACACCTACTTTGCTAAGAGGTATACCACATGCAGTTAAAATGTTGTCGTTCTGCGATATGAAATATTACTCACCTAAAACATTATTCACTAGCAAAACGATGGAGCATTTTGCTTTGTCTTTATCTTTAAAGTTTAGCTGAAATTTACCTAGGCCCTTCATATAAGGTAAAACCTAAGATTTTTCAATATGTTTGTTGATTTTTATGCTTTTGCCTTATATGCCCCTGAGCACTTTTAATTTATCAAGTGATAAAGCCCTGCTGTCTATCTAAGAATTTCTTACTCAGAAATTACATATGAGTACAATAGATATTGAATATATTGCAGTAAACTTTGGGAAGAATAAACCTACCCATCTTAAAGAGTTTGTTACCAAGGGAAATAGAAGACAATTTCTTGAAGGTTTTTTGACAGGCAGGTTTTAACCTATTATGTGTGCACATATTCTAGAGTACTTGGAAACTAATACAGGCTCAGTTTTTAGCAAATGAGGTATTGCTCATTGTATAGATGTATTTCTATAAACATATACCCCTTGCCTTGGCCCTTTTTAGTTGTATTTATTATTGATTAGAAGTTTGCTCCCCTATGTTGATAGCAAGGATGAGGATGGGTGTTGGTGGGAGAGGGGAGAAAAGATCATGATTGAGGGGCTGTTTGCAATAAGCTGAATCACAGAAAGCACCTCTTGTAGTTATTTTGTTTGTCCCTTTTACTTTCAATATTTGTGGTCAGAATGAGATCAGAACTGAATTTCAATTCTAGGCCTAGAGTTCAAAATCTTTTTTTTTTCCTTTTTATTTTGAAATCATGGTAGATTTGCATGCAGTTGTAAGAAACAATATAGAGAGATCTTACATAACTGTAGTATAATGTCACAACGAGGATACTGATGTCGATATAATCTACCCACCATATTCACATTTCACCACTTCTCACAAGCACTCATTTGTGTGTGGGTTTACTTAGTTCTATACATTTTAATCACACATATAGATTTGTGTGACCACAACCTAGTCAAGATAAAGAACAGTTCTTTACAAGGAACCCTCTTACTACCTTTATAGCCACAGACACTTCCCTCCTTCACCTCCCCCACCCCAGCCTCTGACAACCACTAATCTCTTCTCTGTCGCTATAATTATGTCATTTGAAGAATGCTATATAAATGGAATGATACAGTTTTTTCACTCACCATAATTCCCTTGAATATCTTTTGATCTCTAGAAAACATAATTTTTGAATCTGCTCTTTTAATTTGGGTAGAGGGTCATCTAATGTATGTTTGTTTCATAATTAAAATTTGAAATTTGTGGGCCGGCCCAGTGGCGCACTGGAGAGTGCGCTGCTTGGGAGCGCAGCGGCGCTCCCGCCTAGGGTTCGGATCCCATGTGGAGACCGGTTCCCGCTCACTGGCTGAGCGCGGTGCGGGCGCAACACCGAGGGTTGCGATCCCGTTACCGGTCAGTAAAAAAAGACAAAAAGGAAAAAAAAAATCTGAAATTTGTTACTGATAATAGAGAAAAAGTTGTCTTGCTGTTGGTGGTAGTTTGAAGATTTGATAGTGTCCAAAAAAGCTCATGAGGAAATTAAGTGTATCCAAATAGTATTTATTGTGGTGATTTTTTGATTTTTAAAAAAACAAGCTAATAAAACATGAACTTTCGAGTGTTTTCTGGAATAGTGATTTTTTCATGTTATAAATGGTGGTAAGATGTTGTAAGGAAACCCCATCAATGTCAAAATAATATTAGAGCAAGTGTAGAGGATATTGCAACCCAAGGAGAGATTTTATATATCATATTGCAAAATTTAAAATAGTTTTATTAGACTGTCATATCTCTAATAAGAGGCTGTGGAAATTCAGTTCCAATGTCTAGGTTTTCTTCAGTGAAAAACTGATGACAGCAGAGAATTTTTTTCTCTCTCTCTTTAAGCAGCCTGTATTTTCTCCTGCCTTGATGATTTGTTTATTACCCTGTTCAGTCTGGATATTGAAATGGCCTTGTTTATTTCTAGAGCCTCATGTGGACCTTGCAGGTAGTGCATCGCTCCTTCCTAGCACCTCTGTCCCTCACATTTTCTGGTGTGTTCTTTGTAGAATGTGAGCCAATCGAAGCAATTGCCAAGTTTGACTATGCGGGGCGGACTGCCAGAGAACTGTCCTTCAAGAAGGGTGCCTCCTTGCTGCTGTATCACCGCGCGTCTGAGGACTGGTGGGAAGGAAGGCACAATGGGATTGATGGGCTTGTGCCTCACCAGTACATAGTGGTGCAGGATATGTGAGTAGTCCCAACTTAAATTGCTGGAGTGCTCCCTATAGAGGACTCCAGCCATTGTTCTGAAACTGACTTTGGTCTTGTGAGAAAAGAGCAGAAGGCATGACTGAGGTAAAACTTCTCGGCTGGGTACATTTCTTCACCGTATTAATGGCTCTTTGCTAACCACGCTTCCAGACCCACAGGTTTGGAGCAAGAACTATGAAAGACATCTTTCAGGTCCTTAGAGAAATAACCTGTGCAGAGAATGGCTTTAAGAGCTGAAGTGACACTGATAATTCCAAAAATCACGATGCTCTTCTCTTGATGTCTGTCTCCTGTTTCAATTCCAGATCCCCAAGAGTGAGGATTCCAGCCTAAAGTCTAAGGGAATCATCACTAGGCTTTTTTTAATTTTGCTGA